AAGAAGAAGAAGATGAAGAAGAAGAAGAAGAAGAAGAAGAAGAAGAAGAAGAAGAAGAGAAAGTCTACATCATCTCAACTATCATTTTAATATTTCTCACCTCTTATATGAGTGACATCTAGAGATTCTTTTAGATGATATGTGCAACCTTTGCGATACTCTGGAACTTCTATGACTATGTGCTCATTAGCAGGTACAGAAGAGGACTTTCGAATGACCCAGTCGCATGTTATCTCTCTGTGGACAAATGAAAGAGCGTAACTGATGCCTGTGGCAGTAATTTATAGATTTAGTAAGCCAAAAGAGTGCAATATATGGGCGTCAAAGTTCACATCACAATGTTATTAAAAATTCGTTGAGAACTGTTATATTGCTATCGGTAGGATTAAACACTAAATTAATTAATCATTGCAAATGAATTGGACTGTACCTGTTTCTTTAGACAAGGTAACAGTATTAATTCCTAACCTTTTAAAGTGATTTTAAAGGAGCAACTATTAAATCAAGTCAATAATAGAATATGGTGGAAGACCGTAATTAAAGTTAGACTGCAATGGGGAAAGCCCGATGTAAAATACTTCACAAAAAGGCCAAGTACGAAAGGTTAGAGACACTTGGGCAGTTACTGGAAGCTGCTCGGTACTGGCACTTGTTGTTGTATCTACTACACTAGGGGGAAAAGGGGGGGAGGGGTGAGCGTAGCAATCCATTTATATACAATATTCTCAACTTTGGGTATACAGGGAGTTAAATCCGCTGGCACAATACAAAGCACTCCATAAAATCCTACCTATCTTTGTTCGTACTGTAATGTTTCTATCAAGGTGTTTTCACTTTTTCTCAGTTTGGTGTTAACATAATTATGCAGCTTTTTACACGAGAGAAATCATAATGAAATAGCTGCTGCTGAAAAATTGTTCGACATTACTTGGCTTTGGGGGGGGGGGGTGCTCTCGTGGTCTAGATTGCCTCTCATTTAAAAGGTCACGGGTTCGTAACCTGAAAGCGACGGAAAATTTTCTTCTCTATAATTGTCAATTTTCCTGCTCTCTACCCTTTTTCTGTCGTTGCTTTTGTCCCCCTTCTCCCCTTCCCCTTCTCCCCTTCCCCTTCTCCCCCTCCCCTTCTCCCCCTCCCCTTTTCCCCCTCCTCTTGGCTCATGACTCTTTCTTTAGCCGTTGGACTGCTACTGTTCCGCTCCTTCTTTCTGCTGCCTTTCAGCAACACCCCTGATCTTATGATGGGTAAGATCTAACACATATCCTTCTCGGATAAGAGCAACAAATCTCAGAGGTTGCGTGTGCAAGTTAGGCACGTTAAAGATCGCTTGGTGGTCCTTAAATCCATAAAAGTACGCTTTGGCCGCCACCTAAGCAAAAATTCAAAATTCCAACCAAAATGAAAATAAATGTTTAATATTATGTCCCGCGCGCTCGTATGACTTTATGCAGTTTCAAGCTCCGTGTAACACTTCCCAAAAAGAAAAAAGACATTACTGGCTGCATCCAAACATGGGATAGCCCTCCGTATACAAAGAGTAAAGGGATTTTTTTTTTAATTTAAAAAAAAAAAAAATTTTTTTTTGGGGGGGGAGCATAATTAGGAGCAAACGCCCCTTTGTATTGGATCGGGTCGAAAATACTTTCACTAAAAGCGGCAGAACTAAGAGCAAAAAAACCCAAAACAACAACAATACAATAAAAAAGCAAAACAATAAAAAACAAAACGATTTTAAACAACTATAGCAATTTATTTGGTATACGCCATAGCAAATATTATGTTATTAAAAAATATGTAGCTAAACAATTCTCCCATTCGCCACGTAAAGCAACGACCCTGAACCCTTTGCTGTAATTTAAGGCCTACCACCCACCCTCACTCAAATCAAAGGACAGTGAAGACGTCAAATTTCGTTAATCCGTTTTAACTGCGCTGCGTGTTAGAGACATTTGGCTAAGCACATTAAATTGGGAGTGTATAAAATAGTTGTTTGAGAGGGGGATCCATTTACTGGTAGTATTTAATTAGGCGTGAGAGCTAATTAAAAATCGCTCATTTAGCTTTTTGACCAAAACTGCGCACCATACGAAAACCCCCAGCCTGTCATGTCGGATGTAGCTGACAACACTTTTTCCCGCTGAAAACTCAAGCTTGAAAACTCCACACACACACGTTTCCGGTAGACCTACGCTGTGTTGATAGTTTACAGAGCTGCTGTTTTACTAGATCTACGATTAAGGCGCAACTGTTGTGAATAGTTTTTGAAAAGGGGAGATGATGCTGGATATGTCTATGTGGCAGAGAGACTTAAAGAATTCCACACCCTTGGTTCATGCCCCATCTATGTTGACCTGTCCAAGTTAGATGAAGGACATGGTTTCTTGGCAACGCTACAACAGCAGACTGCACTATGGCATAAAAAGTGCAGAAATTCAATCAACAAACTCAAACTACAGCGTAGATAACAATCTCGTTTACATTCAAACATTGGTGCAGTGGACAACATCGACCCGCTTTGAAAACGAATACCATGATGGAGAAAGATCAGCTACAGTTTGCATGCTGGATGCTGGTTTTGAAATTGCAGTTGTTTGTCCTTCAGCATGTTAATTCAATACGTTCTGCTGACTTTAAGAAGTATAGTCGCTGACAGTGTTCATGCCATGGTTCTTTGCCCTTGACCACATCAGTTATGTCCGCTGGCTGGCTGTGCGCATTTCTGATTTGTCCATGCCCGAGTCATCACATCCTGCTATTTTAAAGGAGTTCTTGACGGGTTTCAGCTCTAAACAGAAGAGCCATCGTGTCTTCTCTTCCATTGCTTCGGACAAAGCTCATGAGCAAAGCAATGCCTTGGTCAAAGACGAGGGAGGGGCAGTTGGTTCGAGAAGTAATTTTTGAATGCACTGAAACACTGGATGATTCCTGGGCCAGAGATAAGCTCCATCATCAAAGAGTTTGAAGCGCAGTTATTTGCCAGTCCCCAACAGGGTGATCTCCACCATGACCAGATTCAAAACGTTCAGAACACTTTCACGAAAGAGGTTACAGCCGTGGTATCTAATCTTTGAAGAATCAGGCAACCCTTTTGCTGAGGATAGTGCTACCTCATTGTGCTTGGCACAGAGAATATTATACGGGATGAAGTCGTTCATGCTGCACGGAACACGGTTTTTATCGGAACATCCCAATACCATACCTTCATCAAGGAGAGATTTACGGACATATCAAAGGCAGTGCGACACAGCACAAAGAAAAACCAATTACCAACTTTTTCTATACCTGGAAAGGTTGGGAAAATCAGCGATCGTCACATAAATGTCAGTTTTGAGGAAGGAGTGATATAAACTTCTTTGCGTGAATGTACATTGCATGCCAGGCCAGAGGTACAAACTTGGAATCTTTCTTCTGGTATGCAAATGAACCCTTTCCACCATCTCTGGCCAAGCTTGAGGAAGACAGAACTGAAAAAAAAGCCGACCTGCTGGTCTGCCTCATGTCCCTGGGCACTCAAACGAAGAAAATAACTTCTTCGGTCCCAGAAATCATCTCCCGCAGTCAGGAGCATTGAGGTTCTAATGGAGGTCGATGAATTTGGTGCATATCCATCTCTGCACAATTTCAGACGATCTGCTCGACGTCACAGACCTGCTGCAGAATGAGTTGGATCTGGAGTGTTTATTGGCAAACTTCACATCCGAACCTGACCTTGAAACACCTGCAGAGATTCTACAAGTGCTGACTGTCGAAGAAAGCCCGATGGTTGATGCCATGATACTTGACGGGGCTGCAATTGTCCAGATGCTTGGACAAAAGCTTTCAAAGATATTTCTTGAGTAAACAACCAGCGTTTTCGAACCCTACATTCAACGGCAGTTATAGGGTGTGAGAAGAGTTGATGTGGTATGGGATATGTACTTCCCAGACAGCCTGAAGGCCGCTGCAAGAAAAAAAGAGGGTTAGGGATTTGAAAAAGTCTCAGCGCAGGCCACCGTTCCAGGAAACTAGCACGGATTCCTACGTGTTGAGAAAAAAGAGAGGACCTTTTGGCCTTTTTGAGTCATAGAGTTGAACAGCTTTATGTTTCCGCCAAAACAGCTGTCAGCACATACCATTACAGAGTGTTGACATCATCACCTCAGTTCAATGCCGAGTCTCTTGAGCCATGTCAACAGGAAGAGGCAGAAACCAGGATCTTCTTACATGAGTTGGATTGCTCGAAGAAAGAACTAAAAAAAGTAAGGATCAGAACGACAGACACCGATGTTGTTGTACTTGCAGTCGCCAACATATTCACCATTTAAGTGACAGAACTGTGGGTTGGGACGGGTAAGAAGTCCAGAAATATCCCGCCCATCTCATAGCCCGATAGCTCGGAGAAAATAGATCCAAAGCCCTGACATTTTTCCATGCCAAGACTGGATGCGATACTGTATCCTTCTTTTCAGGAAAGGGCAAGAAATCAGCCTGGCACATCTGGCACATCTGGCAAGTATTTCCTCGGATCACTCAAGTCTTCCGCCCTCTTTCTGCTGGGCCCGAGTCTGTGCAAGAAGAGTGGATGGATAAGCTCCGGCGGTTCGTGGTGCTCCTCTAGGACAAGACCAGCACTCTTTACAAGGTACACCAGGCCAGACAAACACTCTTTGCACAGCACTCGCCATCTTTAGAAGTCATTCCACCCACAGAAAAGGCTCTGGAGCAACACATTCTGCGGGCAACTTACCAGGCAGGCCATGTGTGGGGAAAATCTCTCAAAAAAGTACCAGACTTACCTGATCCGTCAAAATGGGGCTAGCAAAGAGATGAAAGTGGAAACAAGCTTTGGGTGCTTCTCTTGACAACTCTTCAACAGGCTTGTGACGTTTGCTGCGAACTCATTAAGTGTGGGTGCATGCAAGAGAGAGGTGGTTGTCGGGGGTAAAGCAAATGCAAGAAAGCTAGCTTATGCTGCACAGCATTGTGTGTTTGCTCGGGGAACTGCTGAAACGCTGAAGATTACTATCTCTATTAGAACGTTTCAACATTTACCATATATTATGTGCTTACAAGAACTCACTTTACATCTGACAATGGTTAGCAGACATTCTGATGGTGTGTTACTTGTATTTTGTCTTACAAATATGCATAATAAGAAGACTTGCCCATTTGAAGAACGTTTATTCAAAGATCAAATAAAACAATATTGCAAAAATTTCACTTAATGAATGGATTTCTTTGATCAATCTGACATATTGAATTCTTGAAAAAAAAAGAGTAAAATAACTGCTCAAGGTTAGCGTCATATTTGAAAGTGAGTCAGAACTTCTCTGAGTGCTGTAGTATGCCGGCGTGACCTCATCACATGAAATATTATTAAACCCTGTTTTGCCATTTTGCTGTGCCAAACGTATTTTTCATCATTATTCGTGATTGATAGACAGAAATCTTACATTTTGAGTTCTCCTATTGTGTCTGGATATTTGTTGACAATATAATGTGGTGGTCTAGTGAGTAGACTGAGAAAAGTGATAGTGACCTACTTTGACAGCTGGCCACACCCACTTCCGGTCAAGGATCATCATGGATCCCTTGCTTATTTGAAAGGTAATTGTCTTTGGAGACATATACACCTTAAAGTATGTCTCTAACATAAAGTGCAGGATACACCTAATTTTCGTCATTAAGGGACCCCACTAAAAATGTGCAATGTTACTCACGTTGGGTAGAAGTCTGGATAGTACGGAGAGGTCAGCTTTTGCGGGACGGTGGTTGCAGTGAGGGAAAGGTTTCCACACCCAGGAGCTACAAGTAGGACAGAGGGGAGAGGGAGAAACAGTAAGTGCACCATAACGGCCTACTTATGACATCAGGCTTATATTTAAAAATAAATGAGAGGTATTTTCGCATGGATCGTTTTTGTAGAACTAAACACCATTTCGAAATCAAAGATAATCTTTTTTTACATGTTACTGTCAAACAATATATCTTTATTCAGCAATTATATGACCGAATTGTGTTGAAAGTGCCTTAAAACTTACTAGTACCAGGTGCCCATTGGCACAGTGGGGTCGGGTCGGTTCGGTTTGCTTGCCAGATTGAGGGCGGAAAGCAGCTATCGTGACACAAACCGATCGCCCAATTCTCGCCTCAAATACAAACGCGTTTGTTTTCAGGCTACGAGTCGGGCGATCGACCAGACGCGACCCCATCACATCCGCAATGGGCACCCCTGAAAAACTAAAAAGTCTTTGTAATTGAATCAAATAAGAGCATCATATTCATTTTAAAAAAACCGACTGGACACAAACTCACCAGGTGTATTGATCACTTCAAAGGAGAAAGAAGACGACCCATTACTTGGGTGAGCACCTCCTTTAAGGGTTAGAGCCAGGGGGTATCTGGAGTAGACCCACTTGTTCGGAAGCCAAACTCCATTCTCGAGGAGTGTATAAAATTTGCGTCTACCTGCCATATGTGCAACTGGGGAGACAAACAGAAGATTCGGAAGCGAGGAGAAAGAGGGGGGGGGGGGGGTGTACATGAATAATTCTGTTTACCTATCATGTTTTTAATGTAGCAAAAAGAATGGAGGCTTCCGACTTTGCATGTCAGGACCAACCTGGGGTGGGAGGGATATAGAATCCTAACAGAATGACTGAGGCACTTTATAAATAAAAAATTCTCCCCGCTCAGGAATCGAATTCAGGTCTTGTGCGTACGACAGCGAAGTGCCTTACCGCCACTCCACAGACACAAGAAGTGGATGGATACTTCCACGCCGGGAGGCAACTGGGAACTGCCACACGGCTAGAACAGGATTACTCAGTAAAGAGTACTCTTCGAAACGGATAACAGGGCTCGCTTGTCTAATGCTATCAAAGCATAGGTATCAAGATATGGACTAATAGGAGATTTTTCTGTCCGACACACTGAGTGTGTGTGTATGTGTATGACCGGTCCCAGAGTGGCTCTGTAGGTCTGACCTGTAGCTCGCCTGGCGCACGCCGTGTGCGTGTCAGCACAGCCGCACTGTGGGTTGGCGCCTGTGTCTCAGCGAGAGCGAGGCACACTCGCTGCGTCTTAGCACAGCCGCACTGTGTGTTGACGTGTGTAGGTGTGCAACTGACGGGTCTGCCTTGCTATATTTAGGTACTGTGTAATCCAAGACCAATTATACCAAGACGGGACAACTCTTCTTTACGTCATATGCCAAGTGCAGTTCCCCCCCCCCCCCAAAACCAAACACACACAAACACATTTGCAGCTGCACGCGGCGATAGTTTACATTGGTTACAATGCAAGGTTAGATCTAGATCTAGATCTAGAATCTAGAGAAGCACACCTAGATCTAGGCCTAGGCCTAGGCCTACGACAGCAATCGAAACTAGGTCAACCTCTCGATTCGAAGTTTCAAAGTATGATAAAATGCATTTCTGGGTGATTGTGTGGCCAAGTGTTGATGCTAGCATCAATATTAATAGTAAAGCACCTAATAATACTTACTTCTTGTTGATTTTGATGATCTATAAAGAGTTTCAGTCGAAAATAAACCCGAAGCGAGGCGACACATGTCCGCCATTATTACAACACTGTTGAATAGCACGTCTGACGCATTGCGCAGCTCAGCTGGCAAAAAACAGACGACACAGCGACGCTGCTTAAGCACACGATAATGTATACATTCATTTGCACAGTGCAAGCCAGGCGAGCTACATGTCAGACCTTCAGAGCCACTCTGGGACCGGCCTATTAGTGTATGCGTGCATGCACGTTCGTGTTCGTCCTGTCTCTTGGGTTTGTCATACCATATTATTATATTGACATTGTATTTTGTGTCGCTGAATCAGGAGAGAACAAATCGTCAATGTAAGTAGCAACAGAATTACCTTGAGCCGAGCTCGTTCTAGTTATTAATGAACAGATCGCTACCTTAGCATTACAAAGTTATAACTAACATTTTGGCCGTTTTGAGATACTAAGACCATACGATCAGAAATCAATAAATATTCTATCTGCTGCACAAAAACCCTAAGATTATCTGGAGTCGATATAAAGATACTCAAAGAATAGCATTCGACAAAAATTGACATATTGTGGAACACCAAACTTTAATCTTGAAATTTCTCAAAACTAGGTACTTAACAGATAGGTCTCGTAATTCTAGAGAAGCGAAATCTTACCTGATCGCAGTGTCAAGTCACTTTCAGAATAAAGGACTCTGAAGCGTACTCGTTCTCCGGGAGAAAGGTTGCTGGCCATACTAAACTCACAGCTGCTGTGCCTGAGATAACATTGAGAAGAGTTACAAAACAACGGCGACGACGACGACGACGACGACGACGACGACGACGACGACGACGATGATGATGATGATGATGATGATGATGATGATGATGATGATGATGATGATGGCTGCTTCTTTTTTGTGATTGCTGCTGCTGTTGTTGGTGCTGTTGCTGATGCTGGGGCTGGTGCTGCTGCAGCAGATGCTGGTGCTGGTGCTGGTGCTGCTGCTGCTACTACTACTACTACTACTACTACTACTACTACTACTACTACTACTACTACTACTACTACTACTACTACTACTACTACTACCACCACAAGTGTTGCTGCTGCTGCTGCGTTGGACACATGATTATTATGATGATGAAATTAAAAGAGATCAATATTTCGCTACAATCCTACCTTTGGAAGACATCGCTTGGTAGTGTGTACTCAAATCCTTCTCGCGTCAGCTCTGTGGTTAGGCCCTTGCACTCTTCATCTGACCGACATAAGTGGTTTATAATATGAAGCAATAAAATTAGAAGCGGTGCACACTGGAA